TTGTAAATGACACAACAAAATTAGATATTGTATTAATGGACAAGTGTTTTGACATTCTTGAAACACGCTGTGTCGCTCGAGATAGCAAACGCAGATATTTTATTACTCAATTGGGCTGCATCTCATACATCTACAATCATGAATTACAAAAGTGAAAAACATGAATGGTAAAAAAAAATGTAAATAAAAAAAGGAGCAGATGCAAATTGCAAGCAAATTTGAATTCACCAGTGATTAGCCACCTTTGTTTAGAATAGGAAAGTCTAACTGTACACGATGACATGTTGAGGAGGTAAAAACAGTTATTTGATCCTGTTTGTTGTGCTGGAGCAGGGATGGGTATTTAATGCATTTTCTGAGAAATAAATACCGCAGACTCTTTCTCACGCATCTTTGCCACTTTTTTTTTTTTTTTTTGTTTGTTTTTTTTTGCTTTTCTTTAGTAGCTTTATTGTAAAATTCAATCAAACCTCTCTAAAACTAGAACGTCCAATGACAGTTATTCGTAGCTATAAACAAGCGGTTTATTTTCTGTATTTAGTAGAGGAATTTTTTTTTTCAAAAAGTAAACATTTTTAAGGTCAAATATCCAGACTAAATTTTTATGCAAGTATCTCCTTCTAAAGTTGTCATTATTAAAAAAAAAAAAAAAGAATAATCCCTCCATCAAATTATGGTTTCATTTATGTCACAATATAAATACGTACAAACCATTCCTATCAGGTCTATCTTCCTTTTTCTACTACACAAAATGTTGCCAGATAAATGACGTAAATATCCAGAGTAATCTGAAAAAACTGTGTTATGGCCCTTTACTTCCGGGGATCTCGGAAGCAGATGCTAACGTTAGCATAGCAGCTAACCGGTAGCCAGTGAGTCACTTGTGTCTCGCCAAAACGGCTTTTTTAGATGATGTAATGCAGACAGATATGGGAGGCAGTTTTGTGTTAAAATGGCCTGACGTATCTTTTCAAATCTTTTGTAACTTGTCTGTTACTCACCAAAGTATTTGCATTTTAGCTCAATGAGCACAGCAGGGCAACTCGAGAGCTATTCCAGGGTGAGATTAAAACAAGCCCTTTAAATACACCTTTAAAATAAAGGCCAACTGAAATGGTGGGGTGAATCCAATCTGTGTTGTTATCCTGTGGGCCTTCACATTTTCCTTGGGACTGCTAGAGCAAACGATGGCATTAAGAAAGGGGAGTAGGGTGGACCAGATGAACATTTTTTTTTCTTTTTACTGAGAGCAAGGAATAAAATGCCAGAGAAGAGGAGGAGAAGGAGGAGGAGGAAAAGGGTGAAGCTGGACAGGTGCTGAAAGACAGATATGTGCTTTTCCCCCCCCCCCTTTGCTGCACAGGAGATCGAGGCAAAAGGAAGTGAGAAAGAGAGAAAAAAGGACAGGTGAACTATTTCCCCCAGTGGGAGAGGAAATGAGGTAAAGTGGAAAGGGCCAGCTTAGTATTGAGAAATGGACTAAACCATCCCCAGAGGGGGAGCTGAAACTCCCAGCTCCATTGGGCCTCTCTCTAAATGTACCTACCAGTGATGGATGATTTTTCTTTTCTTTTTTTTTTTTTTTTTTTTGTTTACCCCCCTCTGCATTTTCCTCACTGTTCAGCACAGCTCAGGGCGCTCCCCGCTTGTGCTCATTTGTGCGTGTGTGTCTGCACAGCCACCTCGCCATATGCCAGGCAATCCCCGCTTTGCCTCCCTGACATTCCCAGGGAGCGGAAAACACATCCCCAGCAACAATCGATAGCTCCCTGCAGCTCCATGCCCCAGCTGTAGTCCAAGGCAGCTCTATCTTCAGTGAGCGTCTCCGCTATTAATTCTGTGTCCCACCGTTTCCTCCCGGTCTCCGAGATTAAACAGCAGCACATCTACTGGGAGTCCTTTTGCTCACAGAAGGAGGAAAGAGAGGAACACCGTGTGAAGGTTGTGGATTCACAGGAATCTCCTCAGCCTCTGCTTACACATGCCACTCGTTTGGACTTCAGGCCCCATGGGGCTGCTTCGCCGTATTGGTCTTAGTAATTCAAATCAAAATCGCAAAGATCTGGAACAATATAAGGTAAAAGTTCTTCAAACTCTATAAAGATGAACAATTTTAATCAATGTCTTTGTATGGCATTATTCAAAACCTTGCCTAAAAAATCTGTAAAATGTATGAGGCTGTTTTTGCTGTGTTGTCAGAGGTCTTCCACGTCCGATTAGTTGCACAGAAACCCTGTTTAAACGATTTAGTTGAAGTGGGAGAGAACCTTCCAACTCTACGCAGAAAGACTTTAGGAAGAGATTCACACCTTTGCCGATCCTTCCCGCGCTCCAACACCGCAACTCCACCGCTCCACCCTGCAGCCTCTCTGCCACCAATATAAATAATTGATTATCAACCACTGCAGGAAGCCAGATCAAAGCTTTCCAAAGACCTGAGATCAGGAATCAGAAGGAATTCTGCATCTCTCGATACGTCGTCTAGAAGATGTTAGGATCCTCTGTGTTGGATTGTCTGCGTGATCACGCCCCAGCTTGTTCTCCTGGAAGCGTGGTTAAAGGATTTTATGCTCTCCCACAAACTGTAAAAGATTTAGACTCTCTACCATTAGCTTTGCTTTGGGGAGTACGTGCCTTACAAGTCCAACAACACGTCGTCACCACATGCCAGACTTGTCATTTTTAATTTAACAAGAGAAAAAAACAAAACAAAAAACAAAACGGTCTTATTTTAAAAGCAAGAAAAGCTTTTAACTACTGGCCTCTCACCTCTCTAACTTCTGCGTCGTGTCTGTCTTCTACTAAGTTGAGGCACACACTTGTGGTGTTCTGTTTTTTTTTGTTTTGTTTTGTTTTTTTTTTTTCCAGGCAGTTTTCCAATTTAACTGTGTCCCTCATCTTCTCATATCTCTCTCAGCAGGGATCAAAGCACAAGTGCCTCCAGGGCAAACACATGCTGCTTCGGCTTCACTCTTTCTGCCTTAAACAAAGAACAACACTCTCCGTCGTGCACTTTTTGAACAAAAATCCACTACAAGCACGAGCTTTGCAGACATAATCGTGACTGCACACAGCCTCATTTTACCTCTGGAAACATCCAGTGACTTGCACTGCGTGGATTAGTCTCCTAAAGCATTCCCTTTGAAACTCCGAGGCAGGGATTTCTTTTTAGGTGATCACTGGCCTAAGCAGCTGTTACACGCAGGATTAACAAGTTCTGCCATTCACAAGAAACACAGTCTTGTTTAAACTAGTTGGTGGGGTACGGCGGGGGAGGGGGGAATAGTGTAAAGCAGTCACAGACGAGGGCAAAGGGGAGACGGGGAGAGGTTATGACAGGCAGGAGAGGTGGCAAAGTGGTGGATTAATAAAGAGGAGGTGAGAAGAGGGAGAAAGTGAGGTGTGAGAGAGGCAAAATGGGTAGCAGATGATCAGAGGAGAGGAGGGAGATGTGCAAGAAAGGATGAGGGATGATCGGAGTGGAGCGGAGGGGAGGGAACGAGATGTGTGAAGAGAAGTGTGAAGGGCAGGAGCGAGGGAAGAGGCAGAGATTCAGAGGAGAAGAGAGGCAGGCAGCTTTAACGCAGCTAATTTAGTGAGAACCAGACCTCCGCCAAGGAGGAAGCTTAGAGGGAAATGACAATGGGAGCGTTGTCCCCTGTCTTGTTTTCCCTGCAGTTTTGCGTTGTGCCGTATAATATCATCCCTTCCCCCCCTCCTGTCTCTTTGAGCGTGAAAGTGTCCCACCTTTGTAATTGTGCGAGTACAAGGTGTTTACAGCGAGGAAAGGTCAACGGGGCGATAACAGACCTGGCTGTAGGGGTGGAGAGACATTTCCAACCAATCTCGCGTCTCTCTCTCTCTCTCTCATGCTTCTCACATGTCCTGGTTCTGATTCTCTCTTACAGGCTTTGTTTTACACACGTATCTATGATCCCTGTTGTTGTAGTGCCTGGTAAAACCATCCAAACTCTGGGTAATTTTTCCACATTTTGAAATTTTTTTAATCATTTGACAGTTTTCATGAGTTTTGGCTTCACTTCACAGTTCTGTGCTACTTTCAGTTAATGTTTTATTTAAAATCCCTGTAAAATTCATAGAAACTTTGTGGGTATAAGCCAAGAAAATATTTAAAACGTTTGAAAGCCCCTGTATGTCTTTCCTCGGCTGCTCTTTGTCGTCCTGTTTCCCACCTTCACTTTTTTTCCCCCTTTCAAATTTGAGATTAGCTTCTGTAGAAGGGTGCGTTACAGCATGTTGGCGGCAGCTTTTTCTTTTTTTTTTTTTTTTTTCGTTTCATGCATCACAGAACATTTCAGTGGAGAAAATCAACATAGCTCACTCGCACCCTGTGCCAGTGCTCCTTCATCTTCCACCGCCGTGTCACTCACTGGCAGATTTTTGTGCCGCTGTGCCCTGTGCTCCTCGATGCTTTCAGCCTATTCTGCTGGAAAAACAGAGGACGGGCTCAAGCAAACAATCCCCGTTCACTCTGAGACTATCTCCAGTATGCAGCCATGCAGTGCTGAGCAGTGCAGTCAGACGCCACGCCTCTGCAATTTCTTTGCATTTTTATTTGTCTCAAGCAAAAGAGAGATCGTTCACGCTCGGTCATGTTCTGCGTCTTCAGTCCCTCTTGGTGTTTTGTTTGCCGAGCGTTGGGTCTGTTTGAAGGAGGTTTTAATTGAAACCAAGGGCTAATCTGATGATGGCACGGAGCAACGGAGTCCCTAGACCTGTATCACCTTGAGTTATGTAGCGCCCTGTGGTGCCTTGCTGCTTCATTTCATGGCTCGTGGTTCGGCGCCGTGCTGCCTAGTCATTAATGCCATGTTGATTGTTAATCCAACACTTGATATGCACGGTGCTCGCTCGGTTCTGATCTTGTTTTTCTTGTTTGTGTCCCCCCTTTGCTCTTCCTCTTACCTCTCTCTCCCCCCTCTATTTATCCAACACTTCCTTCGTCTCTGTCCTCCTCTGCTCCACCTGTCTCCCTCCAGGACGGGTATTACTCCCACCGGCCGAAGGAGAAAAGCAGAGTTGACAGCAACAATGAGAACTCGGTGCCCAAAGACTTTGAGAACATAGATAATAGTAATTTTGGTGCCCGTTCGCACCGGCAATCTGTAGGCGCCACCAGCAGCAAGCAGCGGGAGCGTGTGCAAGGGAAGCCCCACACCCAGCAGCAGGCCTGGCACGACAGCTCCCCCAGACTGGGCCGCAGCTCCAATGAGATTTTGCCCATAGGCCACCAGTCGCTAGAACTGGGAAACAATGCCTCCTATCCTGGTGGCCAGGGCATCGCTGGAGGCCTACAGCAGCAGCAGCAGCAGCAGCACACTCATGCCTCACTTGACCAGCCTGGCCAGTCCCAGCACAGACATCAGCATCCGCACAGGAAGCAGGCGACTACACCGACACTGGAGGTGACGTACGATCAGCCGCCGCAATGCGAGATCAGCGGCAAGGAAGCCATTTCTGCCCTGTCCAGAGCCAAGAGCAAGGAGTGCCGGCAGCAGATCGCCGAAGTCTACTGCAGACACAAGGAGGGCCAGCTGATGCCTGATGCAGTAACTCGTTATTGCCCTATTGAAGGTAAGTGCATTACTCTAGCAAAGGGCTGTCATGGTTTTATGTTTACATGAGAGGCAGAATTTGAATGCTCTCCCAATTTGTGTGGCTTTCGTTTGATTACGCAAACTTTCTTTCACATTTTCCAATCAAGAAGAACGGTGTGAATCTGTTCCAGTAAGTTGATCTAGATTGCAGCAGGAGATCTTGCTGTATGGAAAAGATTGGAAGCACCAGGTCAGGGATACTTTGTTAGGAAAAGATAATTACAAAGTGTGTGGACATATTTAACTACCGCAATAGCTCCATCAATGATTTTGTTTGAGGAAAGTGACGCCGCTAAACATTGAAGCAATGAGTCTGGACTTCTTTCTCTGGAGACATTAACTAGGAGAATACAACGAGGTTTATGGCTGCAGTAGCCATAAACAAATTAGCTTCATCTTGGAAGGAGACACAACTCAGCAGAAGCCAAGAGTACTTTCTATGGGAAAGAAAAACAGGAAGAGTAGCTGTAGTTAATGGGTTCGGCTGCTCTGTCTTAAAAGGAGACAGCAGCTGCGTTTCCATTAACCGTAAAATTGCGCAAATTGCGATTGCAAAAATAAATCCGCTTGATGGAAATGCAGCAATTTCAAAAGACAAAACTCATGTTGCTAGAGAAAAGGCTTTCGCACTGGAATGAGATGATTTTTCAGCCACATTGAAACACTTTTTTTTTTTTTTTTTACATCACACGAGTCACATGATCAATAGCCGGATGTTGCTTCTGGTGGACGAAGAAGAGAACAGGAAGTAGCGGACGATGGTGTGGTTTTGCTTTTGTTTTGCAAAGTGCGGCTGGCTGTACCCGCGCTCTCACAGTATTGCACAGTTCATAAAAAGTCGTGCGTCATTCGAATGTGTTAATCTGCTTTCTATAGGAAAATACAGATGATGTTAAAGTTAATGGCTACGAATGGCCGTTTAGTTTTTTAAAAATCAAAAAGAAACACGTATTTCAGGCAAACAGAGCTTTTTTTCTAAGCTTCCCCTCAGACGCTCTAACTCAGTTGTGACTAGAAATTATAATTACCATTTGAAAAGGTATCACTGCGTCTCAGGCAACACTGAGACATCTGAATGCAAATTCAGGATCTGGTCTGATTGTCGGAGCTGTCAACAGACAAACTTTCTGATTAAAAAGTTTCCAAAGATTCCCCGCGACTCCTGCCCCCTCCTCTTCTTCTCCCTCTAGTTGGAATTGTGAGAAAGAGCTGCCATTTTGCTGTGACACTTCTTTTTCAGTCGCTCCTCACATTTCAGTGTTGCTCTACGCGCCGCTGTCCTCAGTGCTGCTGACAGAGCAGCATTCGAAATGGGAAGCGTCCTCACTGTGCGCCGAGTTCTCCAGTCCACAGAGAGGTTTGCATAGTTGCTTGAAGCTGTAAAGTTACTTGTATAACAGTGTTGGGGGGGGGGGCACGTATTTGGTTCCTTACAGAGTTCTGATGTATGAAAAAAAGTAATCCCTAGTAGACTGTGCCGCCCTTGGCAGCTAAAACTACCAACTTGGTAGTTTTAGCTGAAGAGGAACTGTGGCCCTCCCTTCTTGGATTATTTTAATGCCGTCTCATTGGCGGGTTTTCGAGCTTGTAAAATCTATTTAGGATCACACAACAAACATCATCTCTACGGGATTTAAGCCCAGACGTTGACTAAGGGCTCTCCAAAACCCTCAATTATTATTTTCTTTTTCACTAAAGGAGGATTTAACTCGACTCCATCAGAGAGCAAAAACAATGAGTTCACTAGTTAGGACTGACACAACGAAACAGGCCCAGACCATCACACTGCCGCCATCGTGTTTGACTGTTGAGTTCAATCCCAGATGCAACACGACGCGTAACTTCATAATCCACAGAATACTTTTTCCAAAAGTTTTGAAGATGATCAAGATGTTGTTTTTTTTATGGCAAATTTGATACAGGCTTTTGTAGGTTTTTTTTTCTCTTATCCTTTTTCTTTCTTTCTTTTCTTTGGAGCTCTCCCATGGATTACATTTTTCCCGACACCTTTCCTTGTTAAATCGTGAAAACTGACCCGGACGGGGGACAGTGGCTCCTGCAGCTCTCTCATCATTGTTCTGTATTCTTTCTGTTCTGATCTTTGAGCCCACTTCCTGCTGTCAGACAGTCATTTATTGGTTCCCCTGGTCAGTCAGTGGGAAACGCCTGGGTTTGAGTCCGAACCAAACCGAACCAAAATGGCAACTGTCACAGTTTCTTTACGATTTAACATGGAAATGAATTACTTTTAACACAGAGCGAGGTCGGATTGGTTTTTCCTTTAACAAATGAAATCATTATTTAAAAACTAAATATTGATTAGGTTATCTTTCAGACTGAAATATGTGCGACAATTTGAGAAAATTTTAACAAAAAGCAAAACAGGAAGATACCAGAAAGGAGCAAATACTTTTTTCATTTTCAGAACCGTACACACCAAGCTAAATGTTAAATTTTTGGAACATAAGTTAGCCATCTACAAAATCACTGCAATTAATTTATGGTAATGACAATGATTTAGACAATCCCTCCTAAAACATGTCACTGTAAAAATAAGTAGAATTCAATTGAATGTTTCAGTGCAACTTTTATAGGAAAGCAGGAGCTATAGATAAAAAAAAGTAGGAGTGAGAAATACATTAAGTAGGATGAAATTAAGGGCTCCGGGGAGTTATCATTCGGAGAAAATCTTGTTAAAAGTTATTCCGAATGATTTTCCTGCCTTTTTGTCTTGTTTTTACATGTCACTTTTCTCATTACGTCTGCCTAATCTTTGCCGTGAAGGCTCTTTCCCCCCCCCCAGAGAAAACAACAAAAGTAACCACTCCACAAAGTTACGTACAGACAGTAGGTCTATAGCGAAGCTTAAGTAGACGGAGAAAAATTTCCCCGTCTCGTAATTGCAATTTCTCATCAAAGCCGAGGTACGTCCCCCGCTCTCACCCCTTCCAATGTGTAATTGGTGAAGTAAATTGTTGGATAAAATTGGGATGCTGCTTGTGTTTCTCCCCAAATTGGGTTTTTTTTTTTGGTTTGTTTTGTCAAGCTGGCCACAGAACACAGGTTCCCTCATCTTCTTCAGACGCACCACGCTCACACATTTATGGACATCTGCAGGCTGGTTGTGGATTCAGTAAACAAAATCTGTTGCGCCGGCAGCCATCAGCGAGCTGCACGCATCAACAGGCATGTTGAAGTGAACATTGCGTACACACACGTGCGAGCGCGCGCGAGGCAGCGGACTGTATGCAACGCAGACAGCAGGAGAGGAGGAGAAACCCATTATACCTCCTGCCTGTTCTGCTGAGATACCTCTCCTGCCCCGGCTCCTGTTGTTACAACTCGACGAAGCACAATGACTTTGCAACTTTGGTGCATTCCCGTTCCTCATCAGCGGGAACGTCGCCCGTCTGTGCCTGATCTCTTGTCATCTCACACAGCAACTCGCAGCCCACTCGAACTGACAATTTGATCAAAAGAGACAAAGAAATTGAAAGGGGCTCTTCCCTGGTGGCTGGGCTGTAACAACACAACAACTAAATTAAATCACTTTTCTTTCTCTTCGTCCGCCTGCTGCCTGCTGCCAATGTGTTATTCCTCCTCCCTTCCCAATCAAGTCTTAACCTTGTTAGCCGAAAATGCCCAATTTGGCTTGATCGACTTTCAATCCTCGAGGCTTCTGCTAGATTAGCAATTGTGTTAGCTCTGCATTAGAGTCGTTGAAATTAGGAGCAACATGCCAACTTTTCTAACAACACTCTGCTCTGGCTGCCGGATCAACAGGCGGCTGCTTTCTGATGGGGGCAGAATGGAGAAAGACCCGCCTGAATAGTGATGAATATCGGTAGAAAAATGATGACGGTGTCATAAACCATGACAAATTGCTTAAATCAATTGAAAAATGAATTAATTAGTGGCCATTTTCTAAAAATCCTACTGAGACCGTCCTATTAAAATATATCTCAATAAATAGTTAGGAATGACCCGGCAGTCCTTATTGGACAATTGCAGAATTGGACTAAAAGTTATGAAAGCATTTGAAAAAGATTATTGTGCCCTACAATCTGTGGTATGAAATATATGAGTAAATAGAAAAAAAATCCAGAAAAAAGTAAATAAAAGACCAAGGAACAAGAGCCCACTTACTTTTCCAAACTGTTATTTTACTTACAGCTTCTAAGGAAAACATTATGCTAGAGCTAGACCATCCGTAATATAAAAAGTCACCTATCTTAAGGCCTGGTTTACTGCAGCACAGCCTTAATGTCATGTAATAAAGTTGTAAATTAGTTGGGCTATTTGTTTTTATGTTATCTAGCACAGATCTTACTGACAGATAGGGACCTTCACACATTATTCTGCTCACATACCCCTATGGAGAAACTTGGTGGCGGCAGCATCATTCTTTTATTCAGCCACGGAGAAGATGGACGGAGCCTAATAAAGTCCTGGAAGAAAACTTACTAGGGTTTGTAAAAGACTTGGAGTCGGCATCCATTAACATCCAGCCAGAGCTGCAAAGACCAAAGCATATTCATGTGTTGGAGTGGCCAAGTCAAACGCAGTAAATCCAATAGGGAATCTGTTGGAAGATATGAAAATGTGTCTTCTTCACACTGTCTGGCTGAAAATAAACCAAATATGACACTTTGAAAACATCAAATGCAATACCGATTTTGTTATTTTTTTTTATCTGCAAATCTCACTTTGTGTCTTTTACTTCTCTTTTAAGGCAGAGACAATCCTTGAGACATGTTCTAATGCAATTTGGTGCATGCCCTCTGGGACCTTACTCAGCTCTTCTTCTACCCTCTCATATGAGCATTTAAGATGGAGGGTGTGTCAGAGCCAGACGTTACACAGGATGATGGAGGAAGAGTGCGGGATGATAGCAGATGAGGGAAAGGCAGTTTCAAAGATTGATAGCAAGCTCTTAGCTCAGGTACACAGTCTGCTCGGAGAATACGCCACGCAAAGCTGCTCTTCTGCAGATGAACAGGTTGACCAAATTGACAATAAAAAAAGAAGAAGAAAAAAAAAGAAAGTTTAGCTCGCACAGAAGTGCTCATTAGTTCAGCCAGACAGTCTTGCTCACACTCTTGGAGTGCTTTGAGAAGCGACTGGCCAATTATCTGACTGCAAAGCAAGCCAGTGGATCTTCTTAGCCGGTCACCAATTACTGTTCAATCTGATACGGCCTGCAGCAGATTTCCCTCAGAGCACACACACACACACACACACACACACACACACACACACACACACACGTAGAAATGGTGTAGCACGAACTCTGTGGGATTGAATGACGGGAGGTAAAGCCAGTTAGAACCAAGCGAGCGTGTCGTTAACCTTACTCTTGTCGTTGGCCTTTGAGCAAATCCACCTTAAATTTCAGCGAGTGCAATCGTTTTCTACAGAATATGGATATGACAGATACATGCGCCAAAACCAGTTGTAATTACAAGGCCTCAGGGCCAGCAGAGAGGGCTTTTCCTTAATGCCAGGCGAATAAACAGTCCAAATGTCAGTATTCCCTTAGGTTCCCTGTGTCTACACTGCAGACAGGCTCTTGGGAGCTGTAACCCTAGATTATAAGTAATTTGAGGCTTCAGCCCAAGGCGTATTTAGTGAACAGAAATCTTTCATAAACTCTCTGTGTGCATTTGCTGTGATAGCTAAAGATTTATAAAAAAATAAATAAACAAACAAACAATACCCATGATAATTTTTTGAGGGGAGGAGCGGGTGAGGTTAGCAGCTTTGAGGAATTCAATGAAAGTCCTTTCCTTTTGTGCTGATTTAAAATCTCTACAGTTTATTTTACATCAAAAGATTTATGTTGGTGTAAATTTTTAAGGGTTGTTTAAGCGTGGTAGAAAGCCACACGATGAGGCTGAGCAATGTTTCCGACAATCCTCCGGAGGACCGCTGGCATCGTTTCATTTTGACAGGCCACAACCTGGGTGTGTGTGCCCACATTCTTGCCGTTGCCATCTTTTGCAAAAGTCTAGGACGTCTTCGGGGAGTTTGGCCTGTTGTGGTATGATGGCACTCTGTCATTCCAAGCTACGCCCGGATTCCCAGAGGAACCTCTCATAGGATTCCTGCCTGCGGGAGGACGGTGGTCACAGCAGATTTCATGTGGCTGGAATTGTTGAAATGGCTCCAGCTCAATCAAACGATAACCGAATGAGCGACTCGTAGCGTTGTGCTTCTGTAGCGTTAAGTCTTTCCTGATTCTGTTTTTATGTTCCCGTTTGGTTTTGTAATTGTGACAAATTTGGGTGTTAGCGTCTCATTTAGCGTCTCTCTGGAGTGGTTGTTTTTTCCCCCTTGTTAAACGGAGTGCAGACCAGTGTTGGATCCTCTTCTCCTTAAGATACACGCAACAATAAAACCCTATATGAATCATAACTGTGTGCACATTCAATAGATAGATAGATAGATAGATGATCCCTGACATTTCTACGCTTATTTTTCTTCTTTTCCTTTAGCTTCTTTGACATTATTATGTACCAAGCGTGCACTACTGTCTCAGTGTTGCTTTTGGCTTTTACCTGTCATATTAAAATACATATTTTGTCTAGAAACAGCCTGAAATCACCTATCCTTGAGGTCTCAAACATTAACTTTCAAAAGTGCCTGATGAAAATAGGTAAAATTGCCCAAGACAAATAAAAAGGATCGGACAAATAAAGGCTCTTTGGCCTAATTTCTCTAAGGTAGCTGACCCTAAAAACAAAATGACTATAACCTATTCTTTACATTTACTCTCTCTATTCTATTTGTTCTGGTTTGATTTAATAATTTCCCACAAATAATAGAAAACTCTCTGCTGTCTGTCGACCTGTGAAGGTAAAGCCAACGTGAACATCCAGTGGGATGAAGACTCTGTGGAGAGCTTTCCACTGAAACCAGTGAGAATAGCTTTTGTTCTGGTGATTCACGGACGAGCCTCTCGACAGTTCCAGCGTCTCTTCAAAGCCATCTACCACACCTCTCACTTCTACTACATTCACGTCGACCAGGTGAGCCGCACAGAACCTGGAACACGGTCCAAAACAGGAGCCACGCGACTCCAAAACACAGTTTGGTTCCCCTCTCTCTCTCTCTCTTTCAGCGCTCCAACTACCTGCACAGGCAGGTGCAGGCCCTCGCTTCCCAGTATCCCAACGTGAGGGTGACGCCCTGGCGCATGGCCACCATCTGGGGGGGAGCCAGTTTGCTGACCATGTATCTGCGCAGCATGGCTGACCTGCTGGCCATGAGGGACTGGAGCTGGGATTTTTTCATCAATCTCAGCGCTGCCGACTACCCTATCAGGTAACAGAGGACCGTCACGTTACAGTAAAAGCTTGGAGGGAAATTTCTAAAATGAAGATATGCAGGGCTCCATAAAGATGAGTAACCTTCCCTTGCTGTTCTATAGATCCGAATTTTTAGATGTTAGTTCTTATTTCCTTAAAAGCTTTTGTCTTAAGCAGAACATGTAAAAACAGCATTCAAGATGTTTTTGCTGACTTTCTTATGCAATGGATTGTTATTTATATTAGGAGCAGATGCTTTGGGGTCCTACTTTCTCACTGGTCCAGTCAGAGCAGCTAGCATAGCTAAGCAAGACGAGACTATAGTCAGCAGCGCGTAGGAAAAATGGAGTAGAAGGTTCTAGAGCCGAACCGTTCAGCTTCCATTCAACATCTACCAAAGGAGTATAAAATATGTTCAGTCAATAGGAGAGATATAACAAGACATCGACACCGACTACCAAAATATTGTTTTTACTCATTTGTGAATGCTGTCTTTCATTTCTTTTAAGAATTAACTTTTAAAACGATATTTTTCTGTGTTTTTCTTTTATTTTGAGGTGGAAATTAAAACACAATTCTTGTTGGTTTGCTACACCTTGTGAGCTATATGACAACCACCTTTGGTGATCACTGTTATAGTATTGGCTACATACTGTAACAGTGTTTATGTATGAGTCATATGACTGAATTTACCAGATTTACAACTATCTGAATTAGCCAGGTACTGGACTAAAAATCTGTAAAAAAATGAAAAAAAAAAAAAAAAAAATGTCCCAGAGAACTATTGATCAAAGCCACCTTTAAAAATAACAAGAGCGATATTTTTGTTATGCAATACCATTCTGCAGTAAGGAATGTCGGCGTCTTTAACAGAGAGACACGACGACAGCGTGGCGATATTGCAGTGTAATGTAGAAAAGGATTTTCCTTAAAAGCATCCTGTCACCACAGTACCATCCCACTCTGAGTCAATGCACAAGTAATCCAATACGCTCCAGTCTATGCTTCTGTCGTTAACTGCGAGCTTTAAATACAGTCAAACCAAACAGATCGATGATGTAGCACCTCTGCTTTCTTAAACACTGTTCATTCATACCCTTTTTTTTTTTTTTTTCCAAGCGTCTGCCTTCTGGTTCCCACCACATTGAACAGTTTACATGTTTAACTTACTGCGGTTTAATTGCCTAAGGTCAATAACCATTGACTTTCCAGGTCTGTTGTGGACCTCGCCGTCCGAGAGTCATCCCTCCAACTCAAAAACATCCCACTTAGGAAGCTGTAAAGTGTAATTAACTGCTGCAAAGTCTACACAGGCGAGACATGAAGTCATGGAAATAGCCTTTTGGAGGAGAAATTTTCATCACTGGTGTGAGTTTACAGTCCTTCTGGGACTTGAGGGTCTGCTGGGTTTTTGATGTAGCTCCACAGCAGCCAATTAAAATCCCCCTATTAAGGAGAGAGTTATCTCCTCAGCACAGCCAGATGTCCACCAGTTGAATTTAGACAAGCTGTAATGGCCACCGGGTGAAAAGCCGCGATGTCTCTGCAGCTGGAGCGAAGATGCTGGCGCACATGTGGATTCGGATGACGGGCTGGTTCAGTCTCATCTGTTTTGGCCTAATCAATGGCATGCTTTGCTTTTGTATCTCTGCATCAATACTGTTTGCACAAATTGTATGCTGCCATCTTAGTCCTGCTCTCAGCCCCTGTTTGTGCAAAGTTGTGCAGATTTATTCTCTCTAAACGCTTGTTAGGCCGTCTGATTAAACGTATTTGTGAGTGTGCTGTTTTTTTTTTCTTTTTTATTATTATTATTTTCTATCATTTGCATGTGGAGGGTGTTGGAGTTAGGAAAACGGCTGACAGTGGAGGTTTTTAAGCCCCGTCTGCTGGGAAACGAAACGATTGATGGAGCGAAAGAAGGAGCAGAGAGGCAGAAATGACAGGAAAGGGAGAACGAATAGGTGGTTGGAGGAGGGGAATGAGAGGAAACGGCACGATTTGGATCCATGCAATATGAAAATATGGAAATTGCACTCTTGTATCTTTGCTTAGGAAGTGTATGTGCAGCCAAGGTATGTCTTTAACCAAGTCTGCGAAGTGCGTGTTTTTATTGAGTTGAACTTGCAGATCTTTTTTTTTTTTTTTCCTGTAAGTGCCAGGTCTGAGTTCAAGCCTAAGTGAGAGTGAGCCCTTTGCTGCTCAAGTGCCCTCAAGCAACAAGCTGACACCCATTCAGCCTTTTTTCCAGTTGACAACCCCGTCTCCCTATCTTCAGGAGGGAATCTGAGGGAAAAAAAAAAAAATCCTATTTTCTCCATGTAATAAGCAGCTTTACATTATTATTTTGTACTCACTCTCTCAAAAACATCAGCGGATAGCGAGCTTCTTCAAGGACCATCAAAGCTACTACATTACAGTTCTTAGCTAGACTAATATTTAGCTGAATAATTAAAGACACCAAACAAAAGAACATTGATGGATTTATAAAATGCAATTACACTGAGCATCAATGGTTTATTTTCTCCCTGAAGACACGTTTCGTGTGTTGCTCATGATTTTGCAGCCTAAAAAAAAACAAAAAAAAAAAACAATTATGTGCTTTTTTTAGCATGTCTGTTTGTGCTGTGATAGTCAAAGGCCAGTATGATAACCATGAGTAAGAATACCACATTTTCACAGTAATATCATAAAAAAGTTCAACATTACCAAATTGCCTCTATTTAAAACATGAAAAGCAGTGATTATATGTTCTGCTGCAAAAAAAAAAAAGAACTTGGCATTACAAGCTCTACAGCTGTAATTGTGCAAATAGCAAAAGTAGCAAAAATGGATAAAAAGAAGAAATGTTAAATGCTTGTTGTTGAGATTATTAAAAGATTTTGCAGCTCTTCATAAAGTAACACGAATACTACTACCTTATATTACCTGATTGTTGAATCTTGCCATCTGCTGTGTTTTTTTATAAGTAGAGAGAATGCACTACTCTACTCATAAAAAATGATTTTCTAATCAATACAAGTGATGGTCGGTGCTCCTCTGGGCTTCTGTGTTTGAAAAATATCCAGAGATAGTTTTGTCTTTTTTCTTTGCAGTGTAGAGGCCTTCTATAGGCCTGCAAGCTTTAGCAACACGTGGGGGAGGGGCAATTTTGTATTACTCTATATTTCAAACAGAGTAAACTATATTTGGGTAAACGTAAGTCTTTGCAGAATGCAGCGTGCTTTGAATCTTTTTTGTGACAGTATGAATGAATTGTGGGACATTTATGCGTCCATACACATAGTGATTTGTTAAATTAACCAACAAAGAAATATAGAATTTTGCATCTGGAAAAATTTGTAGCAACCATGAAAAGAAAACTCCGCCTCCTGAGCCGTCATCATCCACCCAATAAGTTCATCTCATAAACTTAAGCTGTCCAGCTTGAGCTGCTGCTTCCCTACAAATACAATTGTTTTTGTCCCTAAATGTTGTCGCCCGGTGTGAATGCCGTGCGTTGTTGCAGTCTGGAATGCTGGGGGGCTCCCCTCGGCCCTGGACTGCCTGACTGTTATTGTTGTTATCAGTGGGACTGGAGACAAGCATTATTTCCCCGCTAATTCCCTGATAATGTCTGTTCTGCCGCATGGATGGCTCTCAAAGGCGATCCCAGAGCCGCTGGTTGAGAGGCTGCTGCGTGTTCACCGGGGAGATATGGCATGCATGTTTGCATTGGTGTCTGTGTGGGTCCAGTCGGGGTGGAGGATGAGTTACACGCCCTCTTTGCCAGCGAGCGCAGGCCTCTTTCCCAGCTTTTATCTCTGCCGGCTCCTTTAAAAAAAAAAAAAAACCTTTTATAGACTTTACCGCTGCTTTTTTTGAAGTCACAGCTTTGTGGGGCAATGATTGACTCATCTGCATCACACGGTATTCATGTGGGGTAATAAAATATGGTGCTTCAGTCTTGTGGATGCCATTCCTGAGTTGGAAAATAAACGTGACTCATTCTATCAAAGTGAAGTGATCGTAGATCCTGTTGAAAAAACATGTGCCTCGTTGTTACGATTCTCCTCACAGCAGATAAAATCACGTTTTGTCACCTCTATTTTGTTCGAATTTGATGTCCTGGATCTGCAAGAAGTAGTGAAATTATGAAAAAGCCATAAAAAAGGGGATACCTAGCATTAGTAGACAGTCACCTGCCTCTGATTTAAACTCAGCGCTTTGTTAGAGAAGATGTCAGGGAGAACGTTCCCATGCTCTGAATGTAGAAAGCGTATGGTACAATCATAGACTTTCCAAAATATGACCCTCCACTCTACAGCTCTGTGACAAGATGCAAAGTCATTGTAGACCGAAAGTCATAACTCCTATTTATGTGTTGTCACAATCAACGGAGAGGATATAAAGCATGAAGTTAGAAGCTACTCTTTGGCCTACATACAAAACATCTGGCAGCTAATTAAGGAAGTTGTGGCACCAGAAAGCCCAGAAGACTCGACTCAATTGTGCAGGAAGCGTCAGACGATTTCACAACTCGATTTTTTATTTTATTTTTATTTTTTTCACTTTGAAAATGCACTTTTAAAAGTAGACCACGTTCCCCGAATGGCATCATGTAGTTATGGCAGCTGTTCATTGCACAGATGTCAAACAGAAGTCTAAAAGGTTTCAGATCACGTATATATATCCCTGTAAATATTACTTTCTCATTTGGTTCTTCGGATAGTCCTGTTGCTGTCATACCAACAGGATGACAGCAACAGTCCATCACAATGAAACATGGTAGTGGAAGCATCATGCTTGGGGAATGTTTTCTTTTGCTGGAACAGGGAAGAACGACAAACTTGCAAGTGGCTGATAAAAATGTCCAGGTGTCACGAGGGACCTAGTCAAAGTCCAGACCTAAAAGTTGAGAAGCTGTGGCAAGCCTTCAAAAAATTATCTTAACAGAAAAATATTTCCGGTGGAGACAAACCTTAAAAGATTTACAGTAAAAGATTGTTCTTAAAACTACCTAAAATGATTCACCAA